GCATCGTCACCTCGTCAGGGACGGCATCGTCTCGCGTAAACGTACACGCCTCAGGACGGATCCTTTCCAACCAATCTCACATTTCCATATCCTCGTTCCACTCAAACCACACTTACACACAACCAGCACACGCACGGCCAAACATACACGCCTCACACATACATAGCCACGCACCAAATTCACATCTCACGTACACTTCACAAACACGCATTCTCATCACACGAACACCACATGATCACCCACACTCGGCACACGAACTCAATGCACATTCACATGTCCACGCCACCACACTTCACGGCCACACACACGGCATAGCACCACATCACATTCGGCCCAAGCACAAACTAGAACAAGCCAATGACAGCAAACTACACAATTAATCCGATAAACCCAATCAAGCCAATACATTTCCAATTAATCACCCATTTAATTCCCGATCGATCCTCGACATCATAGCCCTAACTCAGCATTCCTAAACCTCGAATTTCGTCGCCCAATCAGCCCACAACCTCCAAACATTCAACCCCTAACTTAGTTCCGAAGACGGCCACGAAACAGCCACAAATAGTCCCTAAAATCACTTAAACCGAACTTCAAACGAGTCTAGAAATACCCGAGGTCCTAAATGACATTTGGAGAAAACACTTACCCAAAAAGGCGAGACGAATGGCTGGAACGGGCCGGGACAGCGGCAACAGCCCGAGCAGCTTGTGTCCCGCGGCGACGTACGGACGGCGTGAACAGATTTTGCACGGACACCGTACGGACAAAGGGGACGGTGGCCGGCGAGTGCCGATGGCGGCCGCGGCGTCCGTCTGATCCGGCGTGAACAGCGATCCGTACGGACGGTGAACAGTACCCCGTACGGACGTTGTACGGACGGGCCGGCAAGCGACGCACTGGCGAGGTGGGACGTGGGTGTCGACAACGGGCGATCGGACCTCCGAGGCTCGGCGATCTTGTTTGTAAAACGAGAAAAATGAGAAAAGAGGGAAAAAGGAGAGAGAGGGCTATTTCGGACTAAAACCGGGCGATGGTGGTCGCTCTTGGGTGAAACTAGCGTGGTGGTCTTTGGCTCGGCGGGGCAGGCTCCGGGTAATCTTGTTCCAGCGTGAACAGCATCGAGTCGCAAAAAGTGCACGGCAAAAACCAGAAACGGTGAGGAAGAAGAGAAACGAGGAGAATGGGCTCGGCAGATCAGGGAAATGCGTGAGAAAGAGAGAGATTTATGGTCAATTGGGTCAAAGATGGTGTGAGTGGAATCCATGTGTCATTATCTAAGCCCATTGGACACTTTTGCCCTTGATCCAATGGACAAGATTTGATCAAATCCAATAATTTAGGGGTGAAATGGTCTTTTGTCCCTAACCATGGTTGACCAGACCTGGTTTAATCCCAATTAACCTTGGTTAACCCCAAAATTTTGACCAATTTTCGGAATTAAATAAAATGGTCTTAGGGGCATTTTCGTAATTTTCCGATCCCGAACCGAAATTCCAATTTTCGCACATACGTGTTCCATATGTGCGTGGCCAACATAATATGGCGTCGGAATCGCGAAATTCATCGCGCAAGCCCTCGAAAATCCACGTCAAAGTTTCGGGAATAAAATAATATTATTTTTCCAATTTTTGTCGAAATTCCAATTTTTGGCCAAAACCACTCTGAATGTGCGTGGTCACCCCAAAATGACCTTGGCCGCGAAAAATAACCTCAAACGGCCTCCGAATCCGGCCTTGGGTGCCGGGGCAAAAAGAATTTTTCCCGGACCGAAATCCATTTTTTGCGAAATGGGTGGCCCCAAGGTTGGCCAAGCCAAAAACGTCATCGGCCGCTCAAAATTGTCACTTTAAAATTCTCGATTCCGGGCCCGAATTCCAAGAAATGACTAAAATTGGACAATTGCAACTTTAGCTTATCTCGGCTAACGGGTGGCTCATTGGGATTATGCGCTCTCGACCCGTGACCGACACTAAGTCAAATCACGTTTAAGTTTACTCCACCCGAGACGACCTCGATTGTCATATAATTGCGAGTGCATTCTACTAGTTCCCTTCGGACACGATCAATCAAGTAGACCGGTCTCGGTTGGCTCAAAACATTCCCTCGTCAATCCATATAGTCGAAGATCGAACCCAGGTCGAGTTCTTTGGTCGTGCGAACTCAATCCCGTAACGGCCCTACCCCTAAGGTTAGCATCCCGAGAATGCGCATTTCCGGGTGAGATCTCACTATAAGTGCATTGATCAAATTCATTTCCTAAATCCCGGGAAAAGGATCGAAAATTCAGATTGTTACATCGAAGCTCTATTAGACTTTAGAATTCTCGATTCTGATTCTTATCTTTGTACGACGTATGCACTCCTTTTATACTCCTCCACTTCCAATCTATCCGTTGGACAGTCTTCAGAGGATTTATCTCCAAATCAACCCGTTGGAGAAACTTCCCAAAAGAAGATGCATAGCCATTAGAAAGAACCATTATCTCCAAGTTAATTTGATCGCCCATACAATCAAATCTTGGTTTCCATAAGTGTAGTTCTTCGTGTTAAGGAATAATCTTGTGATTATCAAAATAGAATATCTTAATATATCAATTTGATCATCTTGCATAAACCTACCAAAAAAAAAGCTTATTGAATCTGATGAGAAATTCTGCGTCTGATGACAAAGTCATTCCATCGACTAAGTTTGATGACTCAGAATTTGAGTCTGATGACAAAGTCCTTTCATTGACTAAGTCTGATGACTCAATATTGATCTGCATCAAACATCTTAAGCATAATTTTGGTCAAAAAGAATTGTTTCGTCATTCTTCAAAACTAATTAGGGATTTTTCACAACAGGTATGACCAGAAAAATCCAGCAAGAGCCGATTTTTGTACACAGAGCAAAGTGAAAATGTTGTAGAATTGAAGAATAAGTAGAGGATTCTTCGTATCTAGCTCTGTAGCTTGCTCAATATGGAGCAAAACAAAGGGATCTCGCATAGAGTTTGTACTTGTTTTTACAACATTGTGATGGAGGAAGTTCAAGATGGCCAGCAACAATCGGTACCATATGACCTCAACTTAAGTGCATCACCATGTTGATAATCAGTTCTTCCCCATAGCGCAATTCATACGCAATTTACGGCCAAATTGTCCTTTACTCACCTTTTACATGGGGACGTTTTTCCATGAATCTCTTCCAGCTCCTTGAGCCACTTATCAAGGGCTCTTCTAAGTGAGGCCATCTGTTTATGATAGTTTGCTTCTGGAAGTCAGTTTATGTAGACCTCCTATGAATTTTGCCGTCCATTAAACGGGTCTGGTTGTCGTGCTTTGAACACTTCGTTACGTGAGGTTTCAATTGTTCTGGCCTTCCTTTCATGGTGCAGCGGAGCAACAAATGTCCGAGGAACTGAAAGAGACAGCTCCACAGCCTCCTGTCACAACGAATGGTCTTTCTCATCAGGATGATTCTCCAGTGAGCGTGACGAACTAAGCGAATAAGTAAGAAACTCAATTCTTGAGATGTTTCCGTGCCTCGTTTCTCCGATACAATTGTTTTGGTACATCTTCTATTATTTCATTTACTTTTTCTCTACCGCGTTGAAAATAGTACCTACTCTGGTGATTAGCTTAACTATTCATCTCAATCTGAAAGCTACTTACCTACTTGATAGGTAAATTACCTGCTTGTGCACACTATTTTACTTGGTGAATTCTGTCATCTGCACTGGCTTAAATACATGCGTCGTTCAAGAGTGCAAGTGCCTATATTGGCTTCTGGCACGAGGCATGGCGTAACTTTTTATTTACCTCGTCAAGTCTTGCTTCAGAAGACATGAATACTCCTTTGATAGGAAGTGTATGCTCAGATGATCATAATTGCTACCATTGGTAGAACACACTGCCGATTACAACATGATCATCGCGGTGTGCATTCTAGTCGAACAACTTAGTTTCAACTTCAAGTTGTGATGCTAACTGTGCTCGCGCTTGCGGTTTAAAATGATGATGAGCAGAGCTGAACCTGAAATGCTATCTGCCATTCCTCCCGGCTTTGTCGGATCAGAAGAGGTGGTAGGGTCCGCTCCGCATCTCATACCCGGCGGTAATCTTGCTTGTCCTTCACTGGAAGCACAAGGAATGAGAATGAATGCTGCATTAGAGGCTGCACATATGCCAATTTTGCAACTTCTGAACCTCATCGCAGGTGGCTACCAGGCCGCGAACTTCAGGGGACGTTTCCGACCATTGACTTTAATGGCTCGAGCTTGAGCCACTTGGATTCTAACCTTGTCTTTACTTTCTCTGAAGGGTGTTCATGATAGTTAACGCTGTTTAGCTTGATATTCTGCGTCATAGCTCTTACTTGGTTTGGACTTTCTACTGGTGAATCTCTACCTGTATACTTGCATAAACACGGTGGTCTTGTTCCTCGAACATTGATGAGGCCTGGCAATGGCTAGCGGAGGGAAAAGAAGAAAAAGAAAAAAAGAAGAAAAAAGCAAAGAAGGAAAAGAGGAAAAGAAAAGAAAAGAATAAAAAATTCAAAAAAATTATATTAAAATATTTATTAAGAATTGTCCACATCAACGCCGGCTGTGCCACGTAAGACGGCCAGTATCCACGTCAGTGATTTTCGGCTAAAATTGACCGGATAGACTCGATTGACCAAAAAAAAAAGTTCATGACCCAATTGTTTAAGGTGCAATAGATTTAGGACTTTTTAAGATAATTTTCCCCTCTAATAGTTAAAATATATTCCACATTCAAATAAATCACCTATCGTGATCAACACTATTAGGCTAATTCCACTCTACAATGTCATGGTTATATTAGTCAGTCTCCCAATTATTTACTTTGTCTTAGTCAACATCCTGTAGACTCATAAAAACAAATTCCAGCACGGTCTGTCTTCTGACAACACAAATTGAGGGGTGCGCGACATCACGTATTCAATTTCCATTGATCGAAAAGGCAAAATAGTCAGCCTACTCTGTCTTTCCTCTTTGACAATGAATACTATCCGACATTCATGTTGATAGCACTATTTATATTTTGCATTTCATTTCCACAAGAGGGGAACAATCACACAACACATGATTTCGTAAACTCACTGTCCTGATGAAGTTGGTAATTGCCAGAAATTACCGGAGCACTTGACGAAGATGAGATTGTTTCAAGTTCTATCTCGGCGTCAACATCATCATCTGGCGTCCCGCTTGGATACAAAAGCGGTTTTGGAGGCAGTTGCAGTTTATCCACATCTCCTTCAAGCATATTGAGGACTTTGTTCATCGATGGCCGATCATTAGGGCTCAATTGTATACACCATAGTGCAACGATCATCATCTTCCTCGTTGTTTCTCTTTCCTCTTCTATGACATCTACTACTTCAACCTCCTTTTCTTTGCTGAGTTGATCATAAACCCACAAAGGAAAGTAAATTTGACTTGAGCGCTCTGCATGTGCATTTAGATTTCTCCTTCTACCGGCCATTTCCATCAACAACATCCCAAAACTATAAACATCGGCTTTATAAGAAACGCCGCCAATGTCCTTATAGAATAGCTCAGGCGCCATATATCCCAAGGTTCCTCTTGCTGCAGTCAATGATACTATGCTGTAACCGGTGGGATAAAGTCTTGCAAGTCCAAAGTCAGAAACTTTCGGAATGAAACTTCGATCTAGGAGAATGTTGTGAGGCTTGATGTCAAAGTGTAGAATTTGCATATCACATCCCCGATGCAGATACTCTATCCCTCTAGCTATGCCAAGAGAGATCTCATGCATTTTCTTATAATCAAGAGGATCATCACCACCCTTAAAGGAAATGTGTTTATCCAAAGATCCGTTCGGCATGAAATCATAGACAAGAGCTTGTTCGGAGTAATCGAAGCAAAAACCAACAAGTTGCACCACATTAACGTGGTGGATCCTTCCAATTGTGGCCACTTCATTTATAAAATCTTGGCCATTGGATTCTGGTTTGTTCAAAATCTTAACCGCAACTTCAATGCCACTTCTAAGGATTCCTCTGTACACGGAACCATATCCCCCCTCACCTAACTTGTATTTGAAATTTTTTGTGATCTTCTTGATATCCGAGTAAGAGTATCTTATGGGCAAAAAGTTGTTGTGAGCTCGTAGGAATTCTTCGATGTTTGCATCGATCGCTTGATGCCTTGTCATCCACTTATAGATTAGAAGTATCAATACACATGCTCCAATTATGAATTTTTCTGCTAGGAAGTAGCCTGCGGAGAAAATTGGCCATTGATTAGCATAGTGTCATAATTTTCTTACACATACAATTTTTTTCTTTTCGTCGGAGTGCTGAAGGAGAGCTTCATAGGTGTGAGGAGAAAAGTACTTGTCATACCCAAGACAAAGGAGAGACTACGTTCTGCAACTCGTGCAAAATGAAGGGTGAAATACCGCATAGAATCATCTGTAGATGGCAAGAGAATTCGTGAGAGACTACTAAAAATGGTTTATTAGAATTAACGACCAATCCATGAAGAACTAGATCCATTATTTTAGCAGTCAAATAATAAAAGCAATTCACGTTAAGCTATACCCCAAGTGAAAGATAAATTCATACAATCACTGCAAATTGCAAATACACTTTTGTTCCCTGAAATTTGCAAGTGGACAAGTCTTTAATAAAAAATAATAAAAAAGAGTGAATGAGGTTCACTTTCGTAGATAGCGCTCAGATCCAACTTTATTCTACTCACTCTTGGAATCTATGTTATCGTTGCATGATCTCTTCTCTCGAAGAAACAATGTTTCGCTTTTGTTCCCCTAAATGTACCAAATGTTCATAAGTTCCCCGTAACAATAACAGCAATTCAAGGGACACAAGCTACTATCAAATCAAACAATTTTCCCCAAACAAATATAAAGGAACAGTGTCAAATCCAGAAAAGCTCCATGGTTAATGACTCAATAAATCGAACATACGTATTACAATATCCAATTGAAACATGCCACATCACTCAGTAAGTAAATTTTGATAAGATCCCTCGGTAGAGCTAACGTTAAGAAAAAAGGATGAGGATTAAGAAGAAAGAAAGAACAGGGAAAGTCAGCTTACAGGAGTTATGGTAACTGCACATCTCCATTTGGAATCCGAAATCTTTGTAGCAAAGTCTCCTCCCATAGAAGAGATTGAATCCCCGAACCATCGTGTTGTGGAGGTCCTTGTATGATAAGCTCTGATTATACTGATTCCCTTCCCACCTCGGGGTATTGTACGTTGTGAATGCCATCATGGTTATGGTGCAAGAGTCCTCGATGTCCCTTGCTTGTAGATTAAACCCATGTACAGCGTACGCAAAGTATGCTCCATCGACACATGGTTTCGTATCGACATACAAAGCAGACGCAACGGGCTGTGAGCACTTCACGAAGGCCACCGACATTACCGGCCGGTTTATGTAAAAACTTTGGTGTGGATCAAGATAACTGAAGTTGGAGGGCACAAATAAGTAATGAGGGAGAGATGAGCAATTACCCTTTTGCAATCCATCGTCAACCACCGCGATATCACCGGCGAAGTCATCTTTGCCATGATAGAAATTGTATGAAATCGATGTCACATAATATCGGCCGGCGTACAGATATAAAACGGTGCGGTTATTTTCACAGGCTAGCTCATACTCGGAGAGGCCGCAGCCTTTTGGCTCGCCTTTCAATCGAAAGGGATATCTTATGTCATGGAGCTCGCCGCAAGATGAAGCGGCGCACGAGTGATTCTTCTTCGCACCGCGGCTCGTCCCTAGTAGTAGCAGAACATGCGATATGAGAAGTAAAATACGGAACATACTTATGGTGCTCGGAGACTTGATCATCTCTCTATCGTTTGATATGATGCAATGAAAGTTTTTGCTAATTGGTAATGCGATGGAGGCTGAGTAATATGAATGAAAGTAGTTGGAGTCGTCGGTTATGGAAATGTCCAAGTCAACCAATAAAACAAAGTCTAGCGAAGAAAAAGAATGGCCGGCTAAAACACGGTATCGGAATTAATTAATTAGGAAGGAAACTTCTCTGCAGTTTCCAGATTTGACTTTTCTTGGCAAATTGATTCTCGCTAGGAATCAATTTTAGTATCGTAGAAGAGAATCGGTTTGAATGTTTTGTACCCTAAACTGAATCAAAATTCCGACCAAAAAAAAAACTGAATCGACATCCTTTCAAGTGAGGCATCTGGCGTTCTATTTTATTTTCAAGGCCATTATTTCTAGGTGTCACTTCCTTAAATTGTGAAGACAAAAAGGAAAAAGATGTTGCATTTCACCGTATAAGGTTTTTCATTTTTGACAAAAAACAAAATTGGTAACAAAGATAGACTATGAACGGGAATATTAACTTGTATAATGCCACTTTTGGCAAAAATAAAAGGAAAATAATGAGTAAGTGCTTCTTGGAGGGTGTAATGTATTATGAAAGAAAGAAAGCAATACGATAATTTATGGCAATGGACTGCTGCGTCTTGATTAGAACCTCACTAACTTCGTCGTTGATCAACACCTGCAAAGACTATAGATGCAATTTTCAAGTTCACAAAAATAAAGCAATGTTTACTTCTTCACTGTCAACTTCAATATTACAATCACTCCCTCGTAATTGTGCTTGATCTATGAATATTACCGTCATCTCTTTCCCATAATAGAACCACTCAAGGAAAGAACTGACGTATCTAGATAATAATGTCATTCTATCAAATGAAAAATGTTGTTGTCCGCTTCATAATCATCTCCGATCTCTGAATGTGTGGAATTGGAGGTTTAGAAAATGTTTACCACTGTAAACATAACATCAGAAAGTTTAGAAAATGTTTCCGTGAAATTTTTTTTCCGGGAAACATACATGCTCTCAAATAGTTGTAATTATCACTTACCATATTTATCATTAGTTAACAGTACCATTAAGTATAATTGAAGAGATTGAAATAGATTTTCCATATAATACAACGAAGTTCATTGATATACATACATAAATATATTATATATATAACAGTTCAATTATTTATTTCTATTTTGCTTGGGATCTCGATTTAGAAAATCATAGGATCTACACCATAGATAACAACAGGAGTAATAAAAAACATTTAAGAGATCGCATCATTATCGTTGACCGGTAGGAATCCTCAGTACTTGCGATGTTGCAACTCGTGACACAGGACCTCACTAACATATGACATAAAAGATTATAAAAAAATCATCAGAAGCATTAACATTTGCTAATTAAAGTATTGGTTTGCTCTGCGAGCATCTCCGCACGCGATGATACCTTTAATTGCTTTCTATATCGTCATTATATATTCAGCAATGATTAGTCAAATTTTTAAGCAAAAAATCTCTTGATGAAAGTATTTTAGCTTATGTTGACACCTAAATTTTGGCTAACCATTTAGAATAAATTGCGTTGAAAATTAGGGATTTAACACCTAAAAAAATATTAAAGTTAAATTATATATATAATTAAATTCATTAATTGCGTTTCAATCGGACTGCGGTGGTGAATGGACCTAGATCAGTCGCATGGACAGACGCCCACGACAAGTAAAATTCGGTCAACAAAGGAGGGGAGAGGGCCGAAAATTTCAAAGGGAAAGGGAAGCTGTAAGCCTTAAATTGAATAGAGGTTAGGCCTGCTTAATTACAGCTGAAATTTATCAAAATTTTGAGGCCAAGGGCTAAATTTCAGCTAGCCCATACACTGGGCTTAGCTGAAATTCACTCAGGAATGGAGCCTTAATTGGTCCAAATTCAACTTAATTTAGCCTGTTGAAGATTAATCAGAAAAGGCCTTCAAACTGAAGTCGAATTGAGTTAACAATTGAGTTAAGAGTATTCAGGTGTTGTTTATACTCCCCATCAACAAGAAGGTACAGAGGTCCTACTCCCCGGTGAGCGGCGAGGGTCATGGGAACGGTGGTTCCGAGCCGCAAAAGGGCTTTTATAGTTTGAGCCCGAAAGAGGAAAGTTTCCTAATTCAATTAAAAGTTTCCTATTTTGAATAGGTTTCCTAATTGAATGGTTTCCTAATTGGAGTAGGTTTCCTAATTAGAATAGGTTTCCTAGAAAGAGGTTTCCTATTTTGAATCAGATTATGGCTATATATAGTCTATTTCTCTTGTAACTGAGAGATGTAATATAGAGGTGCGCAGTGTTAATTATAGTGAAATCCTCTGCTGAACGTAGCCCTAGTTTAAGGGTGAACCAGGATAAAAATCTTGTGTCTCATTTCTCTTTCTCGCTTTTACTCTCTATTTTTTGTGATTGTTCGACGAATCCCAACATCTAGTATTAGAGCAAGGTTTGAGGTTACGGTTTCTTAGTGAAGAGAGATAATCTAATCTTGGGAAGATGTCATCGGCTAGTCAATCACGGATTGAAGTAGAGAAGTTCGAAGGAAAAGGTTTCGAGTTGTGGAAATTGAAGATGGAGGCTTTGCTGGTGGACAGAGATCTATGGCACGTGATCGAAGAAGATAAACCCAAGAAAAAATCCACGGAGAAGGCAAAGGAGGGCGAGTCCATGTCTGATGAATTGAAGGCATGAAATAGCAGCGATCGGAGGGCGCGAAGCCTAATCTGGCTATGTCTTGCGGATAACGTCCTAGTGAACGTGACTTCTAAGAAAACAGCGAAGGATCTCTGGACGAAGCTAGAAAACCTTTATCAAAGCAAGTCGCTCGTGAACAAACTCATTCTGCGGAAGCGACTATACAACTTGCGGATGAGCGAAGGTGATTCTTTTTCTGCACACTTAAACGAGTTTAATACTATTTGTGGGCAACTTGCATCGATTGATGTCAATCTAGACGAGGAAGATAAAGCGTGTATTTTGCTATGTTCACTGCTGAATTCATGGGAACATATAATTATTTCGATTGGCACTGGTGTTAGTACATTATCCTTTGAGAGCGTTGTAGCTTCTCTATTGTCTGAGGAGATGAGGAGAGTAGGTTCTGATAGTGCAACGCAAGATGCTCTTTTCATAAGGGGAAGGAGTAGTGAACGATCCAAATCCATATTTGGTGGCAGAAATAAGTCTAGAGGAAGATCTAAAAGTCGAGATCGATTGGAAATAACATGTTGGAAGTGCAAAAAGTCTGGACACTTGAAGAAAGATTGCAGAAGTAAAAGTATAGGTCTAGAGAAGCGAGATGGGCATCATCCTCTAGTACAAAGAAGGATGATGACAGAGGCACGAGAGACATGTGTCTCGTCTGCAGTTCATCATAGGGTGACTGCAGTGCATGGATAATTGATACCGAAGCATCTTTCCACATGACACCTCATAGAGATTGGTTCTGTTGTTATGAGCCATATCAGGGAGGTATGGTGCGAATGGGGGATGACACGGCGCTTGCTATTGTTGGTCGCGGAAAGGTGAAGCTGAAGATGAAAGATGGGACAATCAAGAATCTTCCGGATGTGACGCATATTCCTGGTCTTTCGAGGAATCTTATTTCTGTGGGAACTATGGCAGATGCTGGCATTACCTTCACCAGCGACAAATATTCATGCAAGCTATTCCGTGGATCCATGGTGATCGCCAGAGGCGAACGGTATGGAAAATTGTGGAAGTTATTAGGAAGCACAATGATCAGCGGTGAGAGTTATATCTCAGAGCAAGTGGAAGAAGATCTTTCGATGCTATGGCATTGGAGATTGGGTCATATCGGTGAAAAAGGGCCAATGACCCTCACCTCAAAGAAAATGGTGGATGGAATTCCGAGCTATTCTATGGGTTTTGGATTTTGTGAACATTATTTACATGGGAAACAAAATCGGGTATCTTTTGAATCCATCGGAGGAAGAGCGAAAGGGATTTTGGATTTGATCCATAGTGACGTCTTCGGTCCTACACTCGTTGCATCGTTTGGAAAATCAAGGTATTATGTTTCTTTTACTGATGATTTTTCCAGATATGTGTAGATATATTTTCTGCAAAGGAAAGATGATGTGCTTGAAAAATTTCGCGAGTTCAAAGCTTTGGTGGAAAATCAGTTTGATAGGAAAATCAAAGTTCTGCGGACTGATAATGGAGAAGAATTCTGTTCAGCGAAATTTGATCAATTCTGTGCGACCAGTGGCATTGCCAAGCAGAAGACAAAGCCCTATACACCTCAGCAAACTGGGGTGGCAGAGAGGCTTAATCGGTCTCTCATGGAAAAGGCAAGAAGTATGCTAAGTGGTGCAGGCTTAGCAACTAAATTTTGGGCAGAAGCAGTGGCTACCGCATGTTATCTGAAAAATAGATCTCCTACATTAGCTTTGAAGGATCAAACATCATTTGAGGCACTGTTTGAAAAGAAGCCAAACATATCCCATGTTAGAGTGTTTGGTTGTGAGGCATATGTACATGTGCCAAAGAAAAAGAGGAACAAGTTTGAGAGCAAGTCAGAGAAGTACATCTTCATTGGATACAAGGATGGTGTCAAAGATTATAAGCTGTGGAATCCTAATACTAAACGTATCATCTACAACAGGGATGTGGTGTTCAGAGAATTTACGACAAATCAGATTATTCACCATACTTTTGAAAAACCATAAACGGTTGAGTTAGATGTTGGTTTGAAGAAAAGACAAAGGCTACACTAGCTGGAATAGAAAATTCAGATTTTGAAGTTGATGAGCCTGACGAGGCGGATGATGTAGTAGATTCTGAAACCGAGTCTAAAGTTGAAGCACCACCTGAACCCGTCTTAAGAAGGTCCACACGGATGAGAAAACTATCTGAGAGGTATACCCTATTTGCCAGTAATGAAAATTATGCTCTGACTGTTATAGATAATGATCCAAGTACTGTTAAGGAAGCAAGAAGTGCGAAGGATGCCAAACAGTGGGAGAACGCCATGAAAGATGAGATGGACTCACTAGATAAAAATGGAACGTGGAGTCTAGTAAAACTACTTACTGATCGAAAGGCAATTGGTTGTGAGTGGGTGTTCAAGAAGAAAATATCTGCAGATGGAGAGATAGAATGATATAAAACTCGTATGGTTGCAAAGGGATACTCGTAGATAGAGGGAGTCAATTATGGTGAGATTTTTTCTCCTGTTGCTAAATTAAATTCCATAAAACTTGTCTTATCTGTAGCAGCTGCATACAATCTGGAGGTAGAGCAACTTGATGTAAAGACAGCATTCCTCCATGGTGACTTGGAGGAGGAAATTTACATGAAGCAACCAGAAGGGTTTGTGGTCAAAGGAACAGAAGATCTTGTTTGCAAATTGAACAAGTCTTTGTATGGCCTGAAGTAATCTCCAAGGATGTGGTACCAGAAGTTCAACTCATATGTCTTGAAGCTTGACTTTGTTCATTGTGATGCCGATCATTGCGTCTATGTGAAAAGGTTAGATGCTGATTTTGTTATCTTAACCTTATATGTTGATGATATGCTGCTAGTTGGAAATAGTTTGAGAATGATTAGCACTATTAAAGGATTGTTGGAAAAACAATTTGAGATGAAAGATCTAGGTCCAACAAACTTCATCTTGGGCATGCAAATTAAAAGAGAGCGTGAGAATAGGAAGTTGTGGCTAAGTCAGAAGAAATATGTTGAAAATGTGTTGAAAAAATTCAACATGGCTGACTGTAAACACGTGAAGACTCCAATGTCCACAAGTTCCAAGTTATCAATGCTCCAGTGTCCTAAGACTGAAGAGGAAGCTGAAGAGATAGCA